CTGAATGAATTAGTCAATCAGAAAAGATTGGCTTAGCAGATGAAAACTGAGTTCGCACATCCAGCAGGGTCAACCAAAACGATCCGGGAGTATAAGCTGGGGTCAGATGATGAGTGTGTATAGAAGGCACTCAGGCTCATGTCGGATTTCATAATTTCGCTGAGGAGTAACTGGAAACTTGGCTGTCTAATGTCTGCTTGTACGCCGATCATCTGTCTATGATAATGGACGTTTGTAACAAGACTGAGTCTTCATCCGTACAGACCTCACTGTGAAGTGTCCGGAACAGGTGATTGTGGTACGTGATGCCCACTTAAGTTTTTCGTAAGAGTCAAGGGATGAATTAAAAATTGGATTTGAGATCCCAAATATATACATAAGTTTGAAAGCACTGAACCCTTTTTAACAATATGAAATGCTTTTTTGTAGTACTGCTCCAAGGCTGCGCCGACTGGTTTCTCTTTTACTTTGAGCAACCACATGATTAGAGTGGTCAAGTGAGCACTGGCTACCGACGATAGAACCCTGTTACCGACCGTCGAGTTCACACAATGTTAATGCGACCGGCCGGTATTGGTTTTTGTTCATTCAGCGAAGCTGAGGAAAGTTCAGAGATTAGCAGTCGAAATAAACGAAACAATCAAGGTTTTGTTGAGAAGAATTCTTAATATCCTCATTGCAACACACGAGTAGCAAATGAGAATATAAGAAGAACGCTAGGAAACTAATACTACCGAACTAAGTATTTTCAGCTCATCATGTTCTTCTGTTTATTATCTGACTACTCAAGACGAGTTAATCAATTTAAATAATTTTAATGATTCTAGACATATTGCACTACTCATAAGGTTGCCGAGAATTCTTCGGCAGCCCACAACCTGTTTCGCCCTTCTTGGGGCTCGTCAGGTAGGCGTAGCCCCGAGTTTGTCAACCCAACCGAATTGTACGAATTTAGCGAACTACACTCACCAAGATTAGTGTATTACGTCTATGCATGTACCGCGATATCTTGAATATCGTACCAACTGAAACATGAGGCGGCCTGGTGCAGAACACTCAGTTGCTTAAAAGCGCCATAAACGAGAGATTCAACTGGGTTGCAGGTGAGTCCTCCACATAACCAAATTGGTGTGCAAATGAGTCTTCTCGCTAATTGCTGCTTCCACCTCGTCCTATACTTCGAAAATACATTATTCTCTAATTTCTGTGACTCACTCTATCAGGAAATCTGCAGCGTGATTACAGTGTTCCGTTCTTTCATAGCCTATATTTAATTAATCCTGTCTCTTGGAAAGTCAGCTAACTTTTTTGTTTTTGGCGCTGATGTTCTTCATGAAACAATCTGGTCTTGACGGGTAAAAAGAAATACGATCAGCGTTATGACCAACCTGTGTCATTCCACATCAGGCTAGCTAGAATGCAGAGAAATGAGAAGTTTGTGTTCTCTAGGTAAGTAACGTTGACCATAACTCACCAAGTTTGGCAAATGGTTTGTCAGTGCTTAGCTACCAGTCATAGGGACGCTATCAGTGCGCTTTTTTACCTGAATATTTCTCCTTTGCTTGCTTGCGTTTACGTATGCTTGCTCATACTCACTTACTCATATTTAACCGTTCGGCCGCGAGCGACTGATTAGCAATGTGATTATCTCGCATTTAAACAGAATATATTGCCTTTCGTGGCCGAACGGTTGTGTGCAGACTACCAGTCGGAAGGTCGCGGGTTCGAAGCCCTCTGGAATTTGATGAGCTCCTAATGACCCTGCATAAGATTAAAACAGATGTACACTGCTCCACAGCTTTTCAGGACGGAATGGTTTTTCTCAAAGGCCTGGCTCTCCATTGAAAATTAACAGCTCCTCTCATAATATCAATGGTTCAAATCACTCACCAGTGTATCCTGTTTTTGACCTGCTTAAATTAGTGAAGAGCGACAGTGCATCGACTTGTTGCAGGCTAATGGTTGGCTGGTATTTTATCTTGAGGCTGTAGAAGGTTGATGATATACAGTGGAATCCCTTTGTTCGAGCCAACCGCAGCAAAGACCAGCATATGATTAGTAGTCTAAACTGATGGGGCCAGTGTTGAATTGCGAAATGTTGATGGTTTCTCTCACCATTCCGCTGAACCTGAAACTACGACCCCGGGGTCCTGTGATCTATAAGAGTGCTTAAGTGGCAGCGAAATCAGTGGGTAGATATGTGCCCATAAGACGAAGTGAAACTTTCAGTCGATGTAGTGTACCAGCACCAGAGGACGGGCGCATTTTGTCTACAGAATTACGGTAGGGGATTACCATACTTTGGATAGAATGAAAACACATACTCAGGGTTACGTTTACCGACTGTTGGTGGAATCCCAAATCATACATGACTCTAAACCTTACCTGTTGTGTGACAAAGCAGACTCGTCTTTCGTAATATCCACAAGCATAGACTATATAGATCAATCAGGTGGCCAGCACTACTAGCTAGTGATCTAGACTTCCGGTGAATTGCTAGATGACTTTCCAGTGAAAAGTCCCACAACCTTTTAGTCACTCTGGAGCTCCAGAAACTATGCATGGATCACCAGATGGACACTCGTAGAATCCTTATTGTGTTTAGTATAACCCACATCTGCTCACCACTGTTTAATCCTGATGGATTGTTGTCCCAAGATGCATTGCTCCAACACAAACTTCGATCACATAATGGCATCAGCCAGCCAAAACAAAGCAACCGGAGCTTCAAAACTCGAGAATGAAGCACCAACTCAACCAGCACCACGACCCGATTGCGCACTCCTTCAGTAAAGGCTCTATGGGTCAGAATCTCTAATACAGTAGCAGTGAGCATCCATCACCCAGGTGAATCTCACAAACAAATCGAATCCGGCCAAGTGGGTATGCAGCTCCAATCAGTTCAAGCGGACTGACTTGAAACTGGAGAGGATTCTTGTCCTTGAACTGAGGAAATCATATAAGCTACACCACCGGAGGTCCAGTCCAAGTACCCACCATAACCGGACTCAGGATAGGCAGGATTCACAAGTTGGTGAGATCATTTGGAATCCACGTATACAAACTTCAAACAGTAGGTGTAAGGCAGAATCTCACGCCCAAACTGTTTTACGTCTCACCGTTTGGCGCTTCAACCATCAGCACTTCCCATGTAAGCACTGGATTAGTCGAAATATCGGACCACTAGCCGGTCAAGCATCAACATGAGCATAAAGGAAAAATAACTTTCAAGAGTTCTGACTGGCCGAAAATACAAGCTCCTCAGTCAGTCTCCTTCCAGCTTCCGAGGAATGCCAGTTATGGTGTGACCTCCATATATTCAAATTTATACAATGTTGCCGTTGTTCACACTTTGGATACGATGTACTCTGCGTGGTTTTCCAAACGTTTTGGCCGTCGAACATATTTTGAGTTTTGTTCTGCGAAAAACCCAGAAGAGGAGACCCCCAACGCAAAATGAACTGACTAGTTATTGTCACTTCGGAAGACGAATTTATGGCCATACATTTTCCACAAAAAACACTTAATGGGTGCACAGGAGTCGATCCTGCCTACCAGTCTGTCTAGAACTATCAGAAGTTGGACTGTACAAGGATTGAAAGAAGAGACTGGCTAAATATTCTTAGCAGTTCAAGCCCACAGGACATGTTAATTTGACCAGAACGTTCAAGCAAAAAGAAGGTGGACCGGTGAATCAAAGAACCAAACAGGGTAGGAGAGTTGGAACTATTTGGAAAGGTTTGTAGATACACCGATCAGATACAATAATGGCTTTCAGTCATCCATTTACGATGGATATGAGATACTATTTAAACAGTATATGAACACAACCAGGAAAAAGGGATGGCACACTGACGTGGTTTCCTCAAATGCTGATTAGACGTTTGCAGGCCAGTCTCCAGGTCAAAGGCCACCCAACTACTAAACAATAAGGGCTCATGTTGTATGGTGTTCTGCTAGTCATTTGGAAAAGCACTTGTTTCTGTCACTTTGTGCACCACCGACTGCCATCGTACACGTTAATCGTAAACGGCAAGAGAGTGGTATCATCAGCTTTTCAAAATTCGCACGTATGTCGTGAATAATTTGCCCTCCGGCAACAAAATCCTGGCAGTTTTCGCGATGCATTTCGTCTCACACGTAACATCTGGCTAGTGAAGTTAGGAATAATATGTGTTTAAACAATCTGTCCGATAACATAAAAATGGTTCCAATGTGCTCTTTTCTAATCCGATGTCGTTGATCTGAATTATTTATCGATTTTAGCTAAGTAACATTCAGGTCGAGTAGTGCAGTCAGCGCATGCTTCGTAAACTATTCTTTGTTGTCGTAGTGAGGTGTTTTGTGAATTTTCCATGTAAATTTCGTCCTGTAAGTGAAAGCAACTTATGCTGAACAGCTTGGGAACACTGTGTGATCTTCTCATCCTTACTGGGAACCAGCAGCAGTGCGCACCAGGAAGTTTAGAACCCGGCTGGGCAAAAGTGGCTGTTCGGCGATGCTATTAACTCTCACTTAAAATGGCGCCACTCAATCCCGGAACCTACACCGCGTAATCACCTGGTGATTGGCTCTTCTCAACAGTACGTTTCACTAATTTTATGAATTATTCTTCTTCTAAGCTACTAAGGGATTGTTGCTAATCTGAGATTCTCAGAATAAAACGGTGAAACAGCTGTAAAGTACTTCTCGACTTTTCAGTATTGGTTGACCTCACGTGCGGGACGACGTCTTCTTTGAAAACGATTCTTTATCGGAATCTCGAACCTGAGTCAGTGGCTGTAAATCTCATATCCGCCTCTGTACCTTAAGATATTAAACCTTTGTGCTCACTTACTGAGCTAAACCGCAAAGTTGCGCAACTGGGAGCGATTATTTGGAAGTTCTGGTTAGTTTTAGAAACTGGGCATTTTCCAACTTTAGTTCTCAGAGTATGATTTCACTGTCACATCTAGCATACGTACATAATTATAACTTTCCGCTATCTAATAATCTATCATTTATTGGCAAATTACTAATAATTGTAAAACTTCTTGCATCACTAAACAGTGTGCGAGTATTTCGGTGTCAGGCCCAACACTTCGCATCGGACAAAGGTAAAAGTTACCAGGGAAAAAAGTAAATCTGGCCGACTGGACACGGTAGTGTCAACGGAATCCGTGGCAAGAACCTGGATTTCGTGAAATCTGATCGTTCCCTTGAAAAGCCATTTTCCCTCAGAATGTGTAGATCCACTGTCTGTCATGGAATGAACTGAAGGGCAGAGAACGTTTGTGAAGATGTCACCTTCCGTGTCACGGAAGAAATAAGAGGTTGTTGTTGACGATGATTTGGGTGTTATCTGTGAAAATGTTTAAGGAAAACGGTTTTGCAGTCTTTGTGACATTACAATCGGCTGGTCGTGATGAACTAACGGACACAGTGTATAGATTTTTTATTCATGTTGGTTTGTGACAACCAATGTGTGCTCAGGAACACTAAGTAGTAACTTGGAATAAAGAAGTTCAAGAAATTCAACACATGTAAAAAATGAAAATACAATGCTATATCAAGAATAGGGAAATAAATGTCTCTGGAACCTGAAATGATTGGTGTGTTTGTGTGTGATCATTCACTGATGCTGCTGAGGCTTCGCGAGATCAGCAGATCCGGTTTCCCGTGGAGGATTTGCTCAACGAAGCGTAGGACATCTCATAGACTGTGAAGGTACAGGCATTCACCATAAGCGCTCGCAGTATGGCAACATTGAATCCACGGAAAAAGACCGAATAGTCGCTTTCCTTCACGAGCTCGCGAACTACGTCCCTCGTCGTATTTAGACCTCCTGATTGCATCCGAGTTTTAACAATATCCTACAACGAAAACATTAATAATGACCTCGGTCGAGTCAAAACGTTACACGGTGTTTACCTCACATAAATGGACTAAATAACATGCCATGATCTGCTCGGTTTGAATGTACGGTATTCACCTTTCCCTTCACTCCTTTAATGAATGTGTTCTTCCCGAGCGTAAGTTCTCGATGAGGCTGGTGGACATTCCAAGTGATGGCACTAATGATCTCTCAAGGTGCCACGTTTGTGACTTTTATGCTGAATAGCAGAACCACCCAATGCGGTCTATTCTAATATGGCCATTGCGGTCAACTTGATGTAACTACCATCAACCAGGAAAGCATAAACTCTGCATACTCTGTGATAATCAGTTGTGCTATTCTCGACGGAGTGAAAACGATGGAGCCGAAAATGACCATCTCAGCCAAACTCAGCCATAAGCCTGATCGCACTCAATTTCCTGCATTTTTTACCATACATCAAAGCCAAACTTTACAATTATGTCTCAGGGTGGTGTACAGATGACACATTAGATAGAAAAATCCAAAAGAAAGCAGACAATTTTTCAAATTCCATCGAAGTACGCACAACTTTGGTATTCCAGTATATCAATAAATGAATATTTCAGTCTACAGTACATCGAAACTTTGGACAATTTCGTTCAGTTCATTTCTGCCACTAGAAATTCTGTAGCCAATGGAGGAACTGGGGAATAATGGCTACAAGTATCTAGGTTTTCTCCCGTTGGGCGGAAATAGTAAATTGTGATTATTTGTCAACAGCTGAAAAAGCAGTTTTCTTACTGTTTTCTTGCGAAAAGCTCTTCAACAGTCCACAATAGGTTTCGTCCCTCCTAAGCCTCATCCGGTAGGCACAATCCTCGAGCTTCCGCCAACTTTATGTTCTACAGGAAATCAAATTGAGTGCGTTTCGCAAAGTATACTCAATTGCATACTAAAATGGTTTCAATGGGAGACTCAACTGAATTCCGGGTGAATCGCTTTGTTGTTATATTCCAATCTGGGTTTAAATAGAACATAAAACTGACAGAAAATCGATGATTGCGGCCACCTGATAAGCCAGATGGGCGAGACCTGTCGTGTGCAGTCAAAGTTTTTACCAAAATCACGAGTGGTGTTCTTCAAGAATACCGAATACTGCTCGAATATGATATTAGATGAAACATCAGACGGCCTTTTTGCCGCAATTTCAGTTGAAAAAAGATTATAAACGAGAGATTCAGCTGGGATTCAGTTGAATCTCCCGTTGGATCTAAATTAATATGCAAACGAATTTAGTCCGTGAAAGCGTTGCTGTTATTGTTCTGCTGATTGCGTTACATTTACGCTTAAATTTTGTTCGTTAGCATTGTTGTGAGCTTAGTCGCCACTGGAGTGGTCCATATTTTATAAAGTCGAACTAAATGCAGCATCATTTTCACAGCATGGATTGCGGACGTGAATTATGTTCCCCGAAAGAGCTTAGTTTCCCGTATGTCACCAGCTCATCGTCTGATTAATAGCACACCTAGCCAACACAAGTCATAAGATCAGTGTCGTGTACTACCTGCGAATGTCCACGGGTTCGAAAAACTGAGATGAGATCACGAGCGAGATACCTATGACTCCATTAAGTACTTCATAAATGTTCGTACTGTGCTACTCATAAGGTTGCTGAAAATTCTTTGACAGCCTGGAAACACCACAAACGAGAGGTCCAGCTGGGTTCCAGATGAGTCTCGCAAAACCAAATTTGTTTTCAAATGAGTGCAATGAGCTAATTTCTTCATGAATAGTTTGAGCCCTTTCTTGAGATGGTATGCTACTAACAAGATTTTTCTCCCAGACTGTGATCAGACAGATGTGGCCATTCAATTGGCATTTGTAAAGGTGTGTAGCAATCTGTACAATTGTTCTTACAAACTTGTGTCATTGTATATACATGTGAACCTGCTACATATGTCGACAACCCTTCAAGCCCCCACAGTATTGAACGAATAAGGAGAACAAAAATTTCGAAAGCGCTATGCTCACTCACAAACGGTAGTGAAACGCACCAAGACAGTGCGCCGCCGAGAGCACCTGATACGCACGAACACCAGAAAGGAGACAAGCCAATTAAACAGCCGTATCTCAAAAATGTCGTATAACCGAAGAAGTAGACAGTGAGTCCCGGAATATCACGTAAAGCATGCATGGATAATCCAACGTAGAGTCCACGTAAACCGCGTTGTTGGATAATCAGCTGAACGCAGTGTTTGATTTTCAGATTAGGTCCTGAAACACGCAAAGAAGAAAGCCGACCCATTTGGGTCGACTGCATCAGCCTTTACTTGCTCACACATTTTAAATTGTACTATGAGCTGATATGACTACAGAACACCTAAATTCACTCAACTGTTTGATCCACAAGGCATTACTTATCCACCACAACACAGCTTAGAGTGACAGTTGGGAGTAAACACACTGCCGTTGATGCTAATAGGCATACTGAAACTTTGAGGCCTAATAACGTTGCTCATGACCCACAAGATTTTTACTATACTGGTCGAAATCACCGCTTTTCTGGACGAATAATGTCGACCCGTAAGATTCGTGCCATGATAACATTTATGTGCCCAGAGTAGGCCCGTGGGAATAAGATCGGAGTGTGAACAGAAGGAGGCAGTTCTACAGCCATCAGCATGTCCAACCGATTTCTTATAAGTATCAATTCAAGTCGATACAACTGAATGGCTCAGCCTCATATTGCACACAAAGGAGCATCTGAATGTTCACGTCACATAGGAAGCATATCCTAGTCGCATGTATGGGCTAAACTACTGCTAGACACCGTGCAGTTCGGTCGTTCCAAGGTTGGTGCAGAACGTCCATATCCTAGTCGCATGTATGGGCTAAACTACTGCTAGACATCGTGCAGTTCGGTCCGTACAAAGATGGTCGCAGAACGTCATCGCTAGCACCGTTGTGTGTTAACCCAGAATGTTCGAATTGATGATATACGCGCCAAACAGAACAAAAAAATCAGCCAAACCGGAACCTGTTCGTGGGAATCACTCATGGCCCTTCAGGTGAAGGCGGCAAACACGATAAACAGAACAAGACAAGTGCATCAGGCACACCTATATGGTGTCGGTACTTACTGTCATCTGACTTGAAAAAAATGAAATCACATCAACAGTCTTAATGTGTTTCAATGTGAAAAAATACGACGGCCCTTTCCAACTATCTAGAATATCACCGTATCTCCAGCGCGAGTAATACATGATAGATTAACATTTGCCAACTTGTTTTTTGCGATGACACTTGGACAAGAAGGAACAAAAGAGATGTATGAGGTTGTACACGCTAACAACAGATAAATGGTGAGGGTCTGTTCACCATAAACGTTGATGCCCGCGCTGATGAACGATGAACTCCAACTCTTCGGTCGCGAAAGTTATTCCCCCCCCCCCAAGTGTTCATTCAACGTGATACTATCGCATGTGCTCTACGAAAACTCTCCGAGCAACAAACAGGAACCAAAATTATGGGCTTCAAACCAAAAATAATCAACTCTGAATCCACAATGAACGCGAAAATACAAACCAAAAATGTTGTCCTACAAAGCGAATGTAATACCAAAAACAACGCCGACGGATTCCAAGAACTCAGTTCTCGGAAGTCACTGATGTTACGTGCGCCAAACTGGCTTGTGCAATCTGTCTTCACTGAACACTAACCAAAAAACAGCTGTCATCCGGAGTGTGCTTTTTCCCAATTACATCACTTGTGTTTTATCCTCTTTTGTACATAATTTTGGAAATACATGAGTTAACCCTGTTTCCACACAGATTGTTGATGTTAACCTCTCGGAAGATTTGTAAAATGTACGTAACCTGATGGTTCCCAATATGGATAGAACAACTTAGCTGTCCTCCTCGGCTTTTCAATACAGAATGACTTGAACCATAGGATGAAATATCCATTGAAATTCTATGTTCCATTGAAATACCCTTCTACGAACAAATTTTCTAGTCCATTGCTTCTGTAGCTTCCGTTTGAAGTCATTTTGGGAAGTTGAAACAGGAACCAACCCTGAATATGGTTGATCAACTAAACTTAGAAATCGGACATCAATTTACAAGTCATGAAAATAGCTCACGCGCACCACTGTCAAGTTGTGACTACATTTCCGTTTGACTAAATGGAACGGATCAGCCGCATTTAAACTACTAAATATGGCTAATTGTGGTCACGTGCGTCGGTTTGGACCGCACAATGCGAAATATGGACGCAGCGGATACCTACGAAACTTACTGGGTTTTGACTTCAGGGTTGGTGTAGTTTGATCGTGCTGATTGGGTTCAAATCAACGCGACCATCTTGTCCCACATTATTGCGGCACACCTCATGTAATACAGTTGTCAAATATCGTTTTGCAGTGAATACACTGCGGAGCTGTCGGTTCGGTAACTTAGAGCCCAGTGGCTAGGCACTTTGGTCTGATTTGTCAGAAGTCACACCAGACACAAGACGGGCAACGTAAAAAAAACTCATAATCGTAAAATTCAGCTGCGTTCCAGGTGAGCCCTCCGTCAAGACCAAAGTGATAGGCACATGAGTGTATTTCGCTAGGTCCTCATATCACATCATTTTTGCTCTCAGTTCAGTCGACTGCGGAAACAATGTAACCGGTCCTGACACTGCATAGACCATGCGTTTAAGTGAGCAATGGTTACATCAGTGTGCTACCTCAAATCCTGGGACCATGGTAAATTGAGTTAGCAGAATGTCAAGTCAGATC